CAGGCTGCTGTGGTGATTACAGGCAGCAGGAGTTTAAGCAGAAAGGTAGGGAGACCTATTAGGAGGCTTTTCTAAGACCTAAGAGACGGAGGCCATGGCTTAGACTAGGGCTGTGTGTGAGAAGAAGTCAGATTTGGAATATATCTGGAGAGTAGAGCTGACAGAATTTTCATTAATAGCCTATGCTCTAAACCACTGTGCCACTCTTAAAATATTTATTCACATTTATAATTGAAATTAAAAATGAAGACATTCTCTCTTTCTGTTAAATTAATCAAAGAACATTTTATCTGCTGTAAGACGATGAGCCCAAAGGAGACCATCTGTCTCCAAGGAGGCTGGGTGGTGGGAAGGGCAGGAGTCTTGCCTCAGGATGGAGAGTGACCGACTGGTCCTGGTATTGGCACTGAATCCTGCATCCCAGGAAACCCCCGAGTCCCAGGCAACCTGGGACGGTTGGTCACCCCGCTCAGACACGGGGTTCACATCCCACCTCTTTCACTCTTCACTCTGGAACTTGATACAAATTGTTTAAGGCCTCAATCCTCAGTTTCCCCATTTCTAAGTGGAGATAATAAACTACTTGCTGAGCTGTTCTGAGAGTCTTAGAGGTCCTAGATATGAACGTGCTTTGTGAACTGTGAGACACCAAGAATTAAAGCACAAGAATTGTGCTTTAATAACACGTTACACAGGACCTCTGGATCAGAGGTACTCAGGCCCGTGGACCGCCTTGCTTCCTCTGCAGGATGGAAGTCAGGAAGCCTCTTTCCTGCTGGGAGCCTGAGGAAGAGGGCGGAGGGCAGAAGGGGGAGGGCCACAATGCGGCCGATCCCTGAGAACAATGGTCTGGCCTCTGGAGCATCCCTCACAACCTCCAGGACTCCCAAGGCTCCCACAGCGTTTCCTGAGGCCCCACAGTCAGGGAGTTGAGGGCTCCCCATGGAGGAAGGGGCTGCTGTGTGCAGGGCTTTGGGACACAGAGGGGCACGCTAGACTAGGGAGGCAGCGGTAGGCAGTAGGACTTCCTCACTGGGCCCTACGCCTGGAATCCATGCTACTTCTAGGAGACCATGGAAAGGTTTAAATCTTTGCTGAATATCACATCCAGAAAAAAAGAATATAATCGAGCTTGTCATTAGTACAACTACAAAACAATTTATTTTAATCGATACTTTCATGGGTGGGGAGAGGTCCACGAAGGCAAAAGTGTCGAAAGCTACTAGAAACATAAGGTATTCTGGAGGGAGACAGAGTCCAACTGGCTTGGGCAGCATCTTCATCCACACAGAGTTCTATGGATTTATGTTCAGTTTGCCTGGGGCCCTCTTTTCACTAATCCAGAGACAGCATCTCTTGAATAAGAGCTACTCCATTTCCAGCAACAAGAAAGAGATTGGAGCATGGTTGGTTGCTTACCTATCTGTCTGTCTGTCTAACATCTATCTGTTTATTTTTATACAGACTTAGACAGTCAACACAGTTTAAGTGTGACCAGGACTACCATTGCTTCTCTGTATGAACTGTGATTAGTAAACATGTTGTCACAGAGAACTTAAATTCTGAGTTTGAGAACTGATGTACCACATCTCTTTCTGAGTGATGTTTGCTGAGTTGAGTAATTCTGTTCACCCCAATGCATTCATTTATTAAGAAGTCTTTGGAAAATGACCTAAGATTAAACCAATATGGTCTTTTGTAGGTTATATCCTTGAAACTTTCATAAAAGTGTGCACCAACAACTTATCCCAAGTCTTTATCAATGATTTTCAAACTGTGACACTGTGTTCTGAAAACCCCCTCCCAGCCCTGAGACACACACACACACATATACACACATATACACAAACACAATTTCTCTTCAGAGACCCCTTAGGGACTGCTTTGGGGGTGTGTTTTTAAGGTGATATTACAAGCAAAATGAAGCTCCTGATCTCCCTCCCTTTCTTTATTTATAGCAATTCCAGTTCACTTGTGGCTATCACATAAGGTCTCATTTGAACGATAGGTTCTGTGGCTCAATAAACCGTTCTCTCTAACTGGAAGTTGTATTTTTTTCCCATGACGATATTATTGAACATCAACATACCTTAAAGTAAGACGCGTGTGTGTGTGTGTCTGTGTGTGTAAGCAATTTAAAGGAAATAATAATTTATATCATAAGGATAAAATTTTACATAAGACATTTTTATGTGGAGTATCCTGTTTAACAGCTGAATATTGACTGGTTGTTACTGGTTAGAAAAGCCCTGCAACCTTTGACATGCTCTGAGATCTCAACTGGTTAAAGAATCAGAGAAACTATATTTTTGGCATTAAGATAAATGCTCCTACCAAGTTTTTCAATTGATGAGGGGGAGGGAAGGAGGAATGTTACAATTCTAGCTCTTAAAGCAACTATTTAAAAAATGGATGAGTTGGCTCTATCTAGTTGACTTCAGATACAGATAATTCAACCATATAAACATTCTCATGGAAAATAACTCCACAAAGGTAAATCCACTTTCTTGTAAATGGGGGTGGGTTGGGGAGGGAATTTGAGTGTGAACACCTGGAACAAAAGTACTTTTTTTTTCCGTTGAAAAATATCTTCCTGGGGTTGATTTCTTTAATGGTACATTTCCTCTTTATAAATCCTAGTCATCAATCATCAAGTTGTGTTTAATGAGCACCTGTGTAGATCATAGATTCCACAGTTCATCCTCAAAACTCAAATTTTAAGTTGCCCCTTGCTCTAGGAATTATAGTCCACCCCCAAGGCTTGTCCCTGGTTTGTTTGGCACCCTTTTTCCTGGCTGAACTTGAATCAAGGTGCAAGATTTCAGTGTCTTCTCTTATTCTCCTCCCCACCTTTCCTCGACTCCAAGGTCTCCCAACCTCAGCGTTATTGACATTTGGGGCCAAATAATCATTTGTTCTGACGGTTGCCTTTGCATTGTAGGATGTTTGGCAGCATCCCTGGCCTCTAGCCATTAGAGGCCATTAGCATCCCCTTCCCAGTTGTGATAACCAAAAAGTCTCCAAATATTGCCACATTTCCCTTTAGAAGTAGGGAGGGAGGAAAACCATTGCTGTAATCCATGAGGATCCCAAGACTCTGGAATCCTGCCAGGAATCACCTTGCCACTACTGGACATGGTCAAAGAAACTTTAGACCTGTGTGATTTACCCAAGTCAATGTTCTCAACCCTTGCTGCATTTTAGAATCACCTGAGATGTTTACAAAGGACCAACTGGGCACTAGTATTTTTTCAAAAGTTCCCCCAGGAAATTCAAATTTGTGGACACAATAGACAACCTCTGAACTAAACGTACTTAATAATCTTAATACTTATAAAAACCAACCAACTAACCAACCAACAATGACCCAACAATTTTATTTCAAATAGGAAATATCCAGGTAGCTTCAAAGCAAGAAAAAAATCCCATATGTCCATAGACTGTAGAACATAAGTCATCAGAAACATTTCACATTTGCTTTCTGTTATTCTGTTACCAGCACAAAGCAGTTGGGAAACCGAATGCCCTTGGGAATGCTGGGCTTTTTGACAGTTTGAATGAAGGGGCATCCCTTGATATAGAGCATCCCCTGCTGCTTGTAATGCATAGGCAGTGTTTTGTCAAAAGTAACATCTATTAGAGAACTTCAAGGGGAAAAGACTGAGCCAGAGGAAATCCCCTGAATGTAATGTTTGGTGCTGGCAGGAAGGAAGATCAAGACTTAGCAAGACCAGAGGTAGCTTAGGAAGGGAGGACTTCTGATAATGTTTTTCAAGCAAATGAAAGTTATGATAACATTGCTACCACTTTCCTTCATCTGTACTCAGTAAGTGTGGGAATAGACCCAGGCAATGAGGGTCTTTGTATCTTAAGATTGAGGAACATTATATCTAGAGGTGTATATATTCTAGAAGCTGCCAATTCCACTTTGGCCAGCCAGGAAGATTTGACAAAGATTCTCAGCCAGCTCCTGATCTGCTGAAAGGTAGAGGAATGCATTAGATAATGTCCAACCTTCCATGTGCTCTTGGAAAACTCAGCTTATCTTCCCTAAGATTTTGTTTCTTTATCTGAAAAATGGGCAATGTGGCATTTACCTCAGATAGTCATTATGAGGATTAAATTAGAAAATGTGTGTAAAAGTGCCTTGTGAATTGTTAAGCCCAATAAAGTAATATTATCTTCTTGGAGACCTCCCACTCTGAAGATTCAGCTAGACCAAGATCCAGTGGCTTTCAGTTTTGGCTTCTAGGGCATGTATAAAATAACGGACAAGCACAGTTGTTGATATAACTTGTCAAATGTCTGTTCTCAAGTGGGCAATTAGGAAAATACATTTGAGCTAAAAAGACAGAGTGATGTATTTTTCATGACTGAGGTTACAATTGTATTTTAGGTTATTATATACTAAAGACCAGGAAATTAATTGGTGTCCTCTAAAATGCAGGAGAGCAAAAGATTAATCTGATAAATGGTTTCCATTAAAAATTCCATTTGGCTTCTCAAATTCATCTTGTCTCCTGCAGTTTCTGAATGCCACAATGTCCTCCCCTTGTGCCTTCCAGCTGCATTCGCTTGCTCCCTACATCACTAGGTTTGGAGAATATGAGTTTTTATACAAATCCAGTAGCACAGCGTAACTAGAAGCTTAACCCATTAGGTCCCTAATTCATGAATATGTTGACTGAAACCATGGTTTTGTCTTTCAATTTAGGGTTTGGTTGATACTCAGAATGTAATCTTTGTCGATATTGAAGAAAAGGGTTTTGGTGACAGCATTTCAAACAGATAGTGCAGCTGAGACCACCCAAATGAGACTATCATCGAGGTGTGAAGTTATTAGTGCTTACCTAGGAAGAATTCCCATCAAGGATGAAATAAACAGGGCAGGAGAGAAGGCTGTTTCAGGAGACGGTCAGTGTTATCCTGGGGGGATGGGGGTGGGGGACACTGGTAGAGAAGTGGTCAGTGTTTCCAAACTTTTACTCAGATGCTTTTCCAATTAGGTGTCCCATATGGCTAGCAGACAAAACTGGGTGGATTCCACTTCAGGCTTACAAAAACACAGACACTTAGATGCCATCTTTCTGAAGAGAATCCCAAACTGATTGCAAATCCAGAACTGAGTATGCCACTACATGATGACACTGAGTTCATATTTCTCTGGTTTGTCCTCAGATTGTTCAGCCTTAAAGACTGAGTCAGGCTCTGGATGGTGGATTTCAATGACAAGAACATAGATGAGGCCTCCAATGACAGCACCAACCAAAGGGCCCACTACAGGAATCCACCAGAAGTTGTTTCCAGCTCTGAAATCAAACAAGAAATTAGTGATACATTTCTTGGCCTTCCTCCTGGTATTACTGTCTAGTTTTTCACTCACTTGTTAGTCTTTCTCATGCTCATGGTTCCCTCTTAACTCAGCAAGATCTAAGTATAAGGAGGGGTCACTGCAGCATGGCAACTGTCATCCTTGATTTTCCACTACACCTGATTTCAGATGATCTATTTCCTGGTCCTACTAATATTTGTGAGATATTATGTCTTACTTATTTTCCTTTTAGAAAATATAGTGCTTGAGCCCATGGTTAGGATTGAGGGCCCCTAAGAAAGTTCAGGTCAATTACTCAGGAAATGCCTTTCCCTCATCCTGAAATAATGGTGCCTGTGGATTATGAGTAGAATGTGGAGAGATTCCTGGGCATCACTCGTGTATGAGGACAATCAAACTAATCAATCAGGAAATGTTTTTCAATTAATGAATGAATTTTTAAAAAATCTAAGGTGGATGTGTGAATTGCCTACTAAATATAATTTAAATCCGTACTTATTTTTTAAGGTCATAGCTTGAAGCTACCCTCTGATAAGGTTGTCATGCCATGACGCTCTTTCTTCCGGAAATCCTCAATGTCAGTACATTACAGCAAAGCTATAGTTCTGGGGAAAAGCAGGTATCTTTGTGAGTTGTCAGCATCTTCTTTGGAGAGAGAAAATTCCTGTAAATAATTTCTTAGAAAGGATCAGGAAAGCAAACAAAAACATACAGTATATTGTTTAAGGATATGTACATTTAAGGTAAAAGTATTTTTAAAAAGTGGGAGAATGGCAAACACAAAAGTTCAGGATAAATGCAGAGGGAGTGGAAGACAAGAGGAGTACCCAGAGGCATTTGAGAATTTCAGTGTTCTAGTTGGATTCTAGAAGGACCCAGAGCTGTTCTTTTCATCATTATGCTTAATAACTACACATATGTTCCATGTGGCCTTTTGTGTATCTCAAACTTTGATTAGAAAGAACGATAAAGGAAATAAGCAGGAAACAAGAACCCTGTCCTAGAATCCAGGAGACTAGGTCTAATCTGAAGATTATCTAGAAGGTCTTTGAGCAAATCAAACTCCCGTTCTCCACCGTGAGCTCCACTTCCTCCATCTGCATGGTCCTTTCCACCTGGAGCACCTAAGTTGTCTCTGAAGTCCTCCATTGCCCATGCAGGGTTGATGGAAGAGCACTGAGCCTGAGCACGCCAGCCACCAGATGTCACTCTTACTACACGGCAGTGAGGATGCTGCACTGCCGCTCTCACAGTGCCCTTCCCCAGGCCCCAAATCCGGATGGATTTTTCTAGAGGAGGCACACGGAGGGTGGCTGCTTCTCCCATTTGGCTGTAAAGACTTGAAGTCTTCTTTAGAGCTCAAAACATGAAGGGAGTATAAGCTACCTGTTGGGTCCATCATTTCCTTTTGTGGCAAATCTCTTCCTGTCATTCAGCAGATGAAGGTCCAAGATATCAGCCAGGGTACATGTCCTCCTTTCACTGGCTGGACACTTTTTCTTTTATCAGACTGGACACGTTGTGTCAGGTTCACAGGTCACAAATGGAGGCGCTCAGATGTGGTTACCTGCCTAGCCTAGTCCCATATGCACACAAATAGTGATCATTTGCACACTATGATTCGGGGGATGCTAAGAACATGTCTATGTTAACTGTCTAAAGGATCATCTTTAGAGATTCGTTACTGTGGGTCAACTATTTGAAAAATTTAATAATACTCCTGAGAGCTTTCCCTGATTAAGTCATTAACATCTTAATGTGAATAAGTGGAGAGAACTTTGGTGGGAAACATCTTAACATTTAAAGGAAAAACCAAGATTTGGCCAGGGTCTGTTGACTCTTGCCCTCATCAGACCCTCTGGCACCTCCCTGTCCCTGCCATCATTCCACTGCTTGCCATTCAGGGGTACATGGGGTCCTGGGAACAAGGTAGCCTGTTCTTTCTCTAAGACCTTAGGTGTAGGTCCAAGCTAGGATATCTACTGAGGGATTTCCCTTGGATATAGAACTCTGAGGAAATGAGACACTTTTAAGAACACTTTGGAAGCCTGTTGTACCTCAAAGGTTTTGGGGAGAACTTTTTGGTTGAGGAGTACCAGCCAACCCTGCTCTTTCCTAATGAGTTTCTGCTTCCTCACTCTCTCCTTTTTCAATCAGTCTTATAGGATGCTGTCAGATTAATTTTGCTAAATTGACATTCTAAACCTGCCAAACTTGTACCCCAAATACTTTGCCACTCCCTATAACCTACAGAATAGGGAGCAGAAAAAACAAAAAACAAAATTCTCATTCCGGGAGTCCAGGTCCTCTATGATCTGACAACTGCCCTTTCCAACTTTCTTTCTGCACCCTTCCAGTTAAACTAGATCACTTGTGATTCTAACATTGTGTCTTTGAATAAGGGTTCTCTCTGCCTGAGATATCCCCTCTGTTGCCTGTTTAAACATATCCAAATACTATAAACGCTCCCACTTCCACTCCCATAATTCTTAAATTTGGAGCTGTAGACCTCTAAACTCCTGGAGTTAATTAGTCAAATCTCTTTAATGGCACTTGACCACTTTAACCTTGTGTAAGAGCTTCTGCAATAACCTCTTAAATAGAGTATAAATAAAACCGTGAAGGACAGAAACTAGGTCTTATCATCTTTAGCAGAGAGCCTTGAGTAAGAGATCAAGCAGCTGCGTGAATGAATAAATGAGTGCATAGAAGGGAAAAGATCCTGATGCTAGCTAGGGATGTGGGACATTAGGTGATTCCAGCATTTTCCTCCACGTGGGTTCTCCTAACATATACCTAACACAGCAAATAGACATTGGGCAAGATCTCCATCTCTTTCGGAACAACCACGTCTCTTGAACTTTTGAATGAATCACCAAGGAGGGCTCAAAGAGGGTGGGAGAAGAGCATGGTCTCCAAGACTGAGACTCTGGAAGGTGGAATTAAGGGAAACTCATGGGCCAGTTCTGGGCTCTGGGAATAAGGAGATCCTTAGGACATATGTTTTTGATGCTCCATTGGAAGGATACAAGAGATCCACCCTCGTTGGGGACGTTTTCATGTTCTAGTTGTGATCATTCTAGGACAGAATGTCTCAACCACAGCCCTATTAACATTTTGGACTGAATAATTCTTTGTTGTGGGAGGTGTGCTCTATGCATTGCAGGATGCTTAGCAGCATTCCTGGCCTCTACCCATTAGATGCCCATAGCATCCCCTTCCCCCAGCTCCAGCTGTGACAACCAAAAATGCCCGGGGGAACAGTTGCCCACCTCTGGTTGAGAACTGCTGTTCTAGGAAATTTATTGCATTGTCAATTTCTTGAGGACAGAGAATGTCAACTGAGTTGCTCTGCATCCTTCTACTCCTAGGAAGTGTCAGCACATAGAAGTTATTCTTTCTTTTATTCAATACCTTGTTATTGAGCCTTTCTATGAGTTACACCCTGTTCTAGGCACTGGGGATATACCAGGGGAAAGGCTGTCAAGGTACTCGTGGCACTTACACTCTAGGCGCTCTGAGTGCTATCTTTGGTGGCAATTTCAGTGGCACCAGTTATTTTAACTTCTTTTTCATCGTGGTGAAAGGCAGGCCAAACTCCGATGACTCTATGTCTAGGTCATCATTTGGGAACACTCACGTCCTTTTTTCTCACAGGAAACATTAAACTAGAATTTGCTCATACATGTTTTTCCTACTTTTCTCCATGGTAGAGCCCTGTTTCCTGATGAACCAAAGTGAGCTCCTTCCCTGCAGGGAGTTGCCGTGGGTGGATGAGGATGCGCCTCTGTGACTGCATGCAGAGAAAGCAGGAAGGAGTGAAGGGGCAAAGTTTGTCCTAGGAGGTAGGTACCAACTGTTGGCATATTTCCTCAGCACATTCTGAAGTAGAAAGCGTGGAGTCTTGCCATTTCTGGGGCAGAGGCTCGATCTTACGTCTGTCCTGTCAGGAAGTTCTTACTCATATCTCCAGAACCAAGTCAGCTCTCACATTTGCAGTCATGTCTTTCCCAGCTTCCCTGGCAGTTACTCACTCGTTATCTGTGTTCCCGCAGCACTTTCAGGGGCTGCCAGAGCACTTATTTTATTGCTCAAGGCGAGTGCTTTTGCTGATTTGAAATTTCCTTGCTTAGCACAGTGACTAAAGCATAGATAATGCCCAAGAAATATCTGTGGAATAAATGCAGCATAGGTTGCGTGGTTCACGAGGAAGAGCCCCGTAGTGGCATCAGAGGACGCAAATTCTAGTCCAACTTTGTCACACAGTGAATCTGCAGACAAGTTATATAGCTAAAATGTTCACATAAAATCATACAGCAATTGAGGGATTATTATTATGTGGGACAGGTTTATCTCTATTGAATTTACCTAGAGCCGCCTCTCTTTCTCTCTCTTGCGCGCGCGTGCACACACACGCGCGCACATACACACAATCATGCCACAAAATACCAGTGCAGTGTCCCATGCTTATGACCAGAGTGTGCAGTTAACATTGGCGCTGTTGTCTGAACTCCCCTGGATCCCCATGTCGAAGCCCCGCCCCGCTGGTATGGTGGAGCATGACTCTGTCTCTCTCCTCCCCACCACTGTTACTTACCTGAAGACTTCAAACCCCCAGCCTGCCAAGGCAGTGAAAAGTCTGGGACTCAGGTCTCTAGCTGGGTTCATGGCACAGCCACTGTTCAGTCCCAAGGAGGAAGAAATGACAATAATCAGGAGGCCGATGACAATGGGCTCTAGGCCTCTGGGGGCTCCCAAGTTTCTGGAGTCAAAAATGGCAAAGACGATCATGAGGAGTATTGTGGTAGCCACCACCTGGAGAGGGAGAAGTTGAGCCAGGGCTTTAGCCTGCATTCCGCTCACCTGCATGCCTCACAACCGTCCCTTCTTACTATTCTACAATATTACAATATTACTATTTTACTTATATTACAGTATGCCTCCTAATAACTGGCATGTACTGGGTAATTGTGCCAGTCTCTCTTCTTTCCACAGCAATTCTAGAGGAGAAGCTAATATAATTCTCATTTACAGATTGGTTACCCTACACACTTAGTAGGTGGCAGTCAGATTTGGATCCAGAGAGTTTGGCTCCAGAGACTGTGATCTTAATACCGCACTATCCTGCTAAGCTACTACTCAGCTAACTAGAATGGCAAGCTGCAGGCTGGAAAAATGAATGAAAGTCTTGTTCAAATTGGTGAGAAAAGCAATGTGAGATATCAATAGATGAGTGTGCAAAGGAAATGAACAGAAAATTCCAAAAAGGAAAACAGAATTAGGAAACCAGTGGTAAAAACTCATTTGTAATAAAATAAATCCAAACAATATCAAATGTTAGGAAACGATATCGTTATTTCAGGCTTTTCTAATAGATCTAAACAAGTACTATGCTTTCAAAAGGAAATTGAGCAATAATTTAGCAATATGCATTCAAAAACATAAATTTATGTATATAATTTGATGCTGCTGGATATTTGAGAATTACACCATGGAAATGATCTAAAACGTGGAAAAATCATTTTAAAATGTCCACTTTAGCAAAATTTATAGTACTGAAAAACTGGAAGCTTTTACTCTTTTTTTAGTCTACTATACAGCCATTAAAAACTATAAACATAAAAGCTATGTAGTAATATTTAAAAATACTTATGACATTAAGTGAAAAAAAATGTGTATGTGCTTTGTGTTTTACACAGCTGTCCCTCAGTATCTGTGAGGGACTGGTTCTAGGACTTCCTGCAAATACCAAAAATCCATGCATGTTCAAGTCCCCGATATAAAATTGTGTATTATTTGTATATAACCTATGAACATCCTACCGTATATTTTAAATCATCTCTAGATTATTATAATACCTAATGTAATGTAAATACGGTATTGTTTAGGGAATAATGACAAGAAAAAAGTCTGTACATGTCCAATACAAATGCAATTTAAAAAATATTTGTGATCCATGGTTGGTTGAATCCATGGATGCAGAATACACGGATATGTAGGGTTGACTCTACTTAAAAACACACATAAAAGAAAAATTTTAAGACAATAAACAAAAATGGTAATAGGTATTCTGAATTGGCCAATTATAGCTGGTTTCTATGTTATTTATTTCCCAAACTACTGTTTAACAGTTAAATGATAGCCATTATTTATTGAACATTTATTATATGCCAGGTACTTTATATGCTTTATCTCATTAAAACTTCATAGTAGGGGCCGGGTGCAGTGGCTCACGCCTGTAATCCCAGCATTTTGGGAGGCCAAGGCAGGCGGATCACGAGGTCAAGAGATCGACACCATCCTGGCTAACATGGTGAAACCCTGTCTCTACTAAAAATACAAAAAATTAGCCAGGTGTGGTGACGGGAGCCTGTAGTCCCAGCTACTCGGGAGGCTGAGGCAGGAGAATGGCATGAACCTGGGAGGCAGAGCTTGCAGTGAGCCGAGATCGCGCCACTGCACTCCAGCCTGGGCGACCGAGTGAGATTCCATCTCAAATAAATAAATAAATAAAATAAAATAAAAACTTCATAGTGATGCTGTGAGGTAAATCCTGTTATTATTCTCAGTTTATAGGTAAGAAAACTGCAATAGAACAAGGTTAAGACACTTGTCCAATGTCAAACTTATAAGAGGAAGAATCAGGATGGGAACCAGGCAACTGATTTTAAAGTTTAAGTTCATTATCATTTCATCTGCTTTCCAAAATAATAATGTTAAACTAATTTTTAATATTAAAAGATACAGGTTCCCCCAAGAGCACTCTTCTGTGGAAAGCCTTCTCCAACTCTCTCTTGCAGAGTAAAACCTCCCACCTGTGGGCTTCCATGACATTCTAACTTTACTTCTATCACTGTCCTTGTCACTCTGCAAAAGAATATCTGTTTACTTCTTAGATTGAGCATCAGGCTCTGAACTCATTGAAGAAGGAAGAGCATAGAGCTGTACGTGGCTAAGTAGGTGCCCAGTAAATAGTTATTGGGTGAATAAGTGATTGATTATTAACTAAACCAAGGAAAATGTTTGGACAATATTTAGAGCTAAGCAATTTAGTAATCTTGAGATAAGGTGACCCCAAAATATGGTCATGATGACCAATAACTCTGTTGGGTGTTGACTGACTGATAACTGGTAACTTTTGGAACTCTCTCCAAAGCCTAAGGAATACAGAGAGCCTTCAGAGTTTGCTGATGTTTACAGCATCAGGGTTTTCTAATATTTGCTTTTTCTACTTGACTATGTACACAATAATGGACTTAGAAATCACAGACCTTAGAGAAATTGCAAACTCACTCTGAGACAAGGACGCAATGAAGAAAGCTCAGGATATGGTATGCAGGTCAGCATTGATCAAGATACAGCTTTGGGAGACTGAGGCAGGCAGATTATGAAGTCAGGAGTTCGAGACCAGTCTGGTCAACATGGTGAAACCCTGTCTCTACTAAGAATACAAAAATTAGCCAGGAGTGGTGGCTCACGCTGGTAATCCCAGCTACTTAGAAGGCTGAGGCAGGAGAATTGCTTGAACCTGGGAGGCAGGGGTTGCAGTGAGCTGAGATTATGCCATTGCACTCCAGAATGGGGCAACAGGCTCAGTCTCAAAAAAAAAACTTAGAGAAAAACACCAAAATAACCAAAATTGTCATAGCTCTTCTATGCTCTCTGCTTCAAATTTCTATTATAATATGGCCCCTATACTCCAGTTTCTTATCTAATTATATATTTTTTCTTTTATTTTCTTCTTTTTTTTGCCCAGGCTGAAGTGTAGTGGTGCGATCATAGCTCACTGCAGCCTCCAGCTCCTGGGTGCAAGCTATCCTCCCACCTCCGCCTCCCAAGTAGCTGGGACTACAGGTAAGCACCACCACACCTGGCTAATTTTTGTATTGTTGGTAGAGACAGGGTTTTGCCATGTTACCCGGGCTGGTGGTGAACTCCTGGGCTCAAGTGACTTGTCCACCTTGGCCTCCCAAAATGCAGGGATTAAGATGTGAACCACCATGCCCAGCCCTATCTAATTATATCTTATTTTGCATAGTTTCCTTGTTCAATGCTCTTCCACTAGATTCTAAATTTCTGGGCAGATACTGTTTATAATGCATTTTTCTCATATTTTTCTTTTTATCCTCGTAAGTAACTTCATGAAGGCTCCTATTATCCCCATTTTACAAGTGAAAAACTTGTGACCTAAAAAATTCAGTACTTTTCTGAAGCCATGCAGGAAGCTGGAGGCAGAACAGCTATTTTCATTCAAGCATTCAGACTCTGCATCTTGGATCTTTACAACTCACATTTACTTGTCAGTCTTTCAAGCTCCAGACACAGCGTCAAGCATGTAGTGAGTTTTTAATAAACGCTTGTTGCCTGTTTGATTGATTGATGAAAGTGGAAAGTAAAAAAGCTAAGGACATGAGGGCATAGGTTTTCATCCATACATTGAATGGAGATGGGCATAGCTGATGAACTGGAAGATCCATTTTATACACATACCCATTCTGATCTGCTCCACTGTATAAATCCTGATCATAGAAGCAGAACTTAGAGATACTGAAAAACATAGCGTTCCTTCCAGTGTGCTGACCAAGATGACCAGCAGCCTTCTTGGGACACAGTAAGGGAAGAAGAGTCTTTGGAGTTGACAATGTTAGTCCTGCCACAAGCTGACCAAATAGGTGTGCTATTGGTTACACCACAGTATGCTTGGGTGCCAGAAGCTTGTTTAAATGTCAATAAGGCAGAGATACTTCTAGCCACCTCGAGAGTTTAAATAAATAAACCTATGTACACGGTGAGACGGAGAGGACTGGTGATACCTTAGGCTCAGCTACCACCCTTCATAGTCTTT